ATGCCCTCAGCAGCACTCATGTGTGGAGAAGCATGCATGCCCTCAACAGCACTCATGTGTGGAGAAGCATGCATGCCCTCAGCAGCACTGATTGTAGAGAAGCATGCATGCCCTCAGCAGCACTGATTGTAGAGAAGCATGCATGCCCTCAGCAGCACTCATGTGTGGAGAAGCATGCATGCCCTCAGCTCTGTTGAGATGCATACACAGACAGTGAGCCACCTTAGGTCTACCCAGAAGACCACGAAGCAAGTGAGCAGGAGACACGCAACTCTGGACTGGAAAGGCCAAATTACAGTCGGCAGTGCTTGTAGGTTGAAGCCCTCACATTACTGAGCTTGTTCTGCAAGGATGTTTTGTAATGTGTAAAATGTGGATAATAAAATGTATCACTAGTCACATGTTGTGAGGCATAAGAGATCGCCCCTGGAAGGCATGTCCCCTGACTCAACGTGGTCAGTAAACAGGGATCCTACATAACGCTTTCCGGAGGACGAAGGTAAACATTTCAATAAAGCCCCAGTCAGATGGCTGCTCTTATCAAATGAGAGATTTATTGTACATAAAATAAATTAATTACAGTTCGAGCCAAAGCATGAATGGCGTCTTAAAGTGCATCTGTGTAGGGGATTTGGGAGCTAGGCCTGCATCGGGTCACTCTCTAAGACAGCATTTTCAGTGTCTCAGCCACCCATAGCCACGACTCAGCCAGGCCCAGGAAGCAACCCGACGTCATTGCCATGAGTCATTTACACAAGTCACACCACCATCAATCAACACTTTTTCTGTACCTGATGCCACAGTTTAAAAAAAAAGAAGAAGAAGAAGAAGCAAACAACTGTACATTGTCACAGTCGGGCAGTCCTGGGTTGAGTTTTTCACAGCTACTCAACATGTATACCCATCCTGTACCAGGAGATCCAGCACCTTCCTGTAGATCACAGCTCACAGGTGTCTTTACACAGACTATTTTCTCCTAAAATTTGACCTTTATGGAGTGGGGAGGGTCCCTCCTTGTTCTTAAAAAAAATCTGGGTATCCTTCAAATCAGAAAGGCATCCCATAATGAGAGCATGTTGGAGATACGGAGAAACGCAAACCTTTCTCTTGGGAGGGAAAAAAAATGGCGAAGGGAGAGAAAGCCTATGAATGTTTTCTCGGGTCTTTCATGCCCACCCTAATTCACATCAATGCATCTGGCGAAACTGACCACCATTCATAAGGCAGTGAGGAACAAAAAACATGGCCCACCCCCACGTTAAAGGAGCAAGCAGAAAAGTCACATATCTGTCCATCTGTCCTCGGGCCCCAAACACTTCCTTTTTGCAGAATTCCACTGGCCCCTCAGGCCCCTCTGCTGCAGACCTTTCTGGAACCATGAACAGCCATCAGCCTGCGATGGTCCTGCCTAAGAACCTCAGGCCCTCTGCCCAGAAGACCAAACCCCCTCAAGGAGTCCCGCTTCACACAGACGTGACAGTCCTCACTTTTGCCGACAGAGCTTGCTTAAACCTCCTTTTCAGGTCCTGCATGTTGGGTGACTTTGGTCTGGGAATGAGGGAGGTCCTCCGCTTCTCGGGCGTGCTGCTGGGCTGCTGTCTGTGGCTCACTTCTTTACAAAGGACGTGGAAAGCGTTGTAGACATCGTTGTAATTTTCACTGACGGAGACTTCATAGAAGGAACAACCCAGCATGCCAGCTAGCTGCAGTCCAAGCTGAGGGTCCACCTGCTTGAGGTGTAACAGGTCAGCTTTGTTGGCCACAACCACCACAGGCAGCCGAGCCCCGGGGTGAAGCTGCTGGACATGCTGGTGGAGCTGGCCAATGAGTTCATAGCTCTTGTGGTCCGTGATGGAGAAAACAATGACAACGGCGTCGGCCCAGCGGATGCAGCGATTCAGCTGCTCGGTCCAGCTCAGGCCGTTCTCGTGGACCTGCAGAGACGGAGAGAGAGCAAGGTGGACCGTCAGTGCAGCTCAGAGCGCAGGCTCACTCACACCCTGAATTCAAAGGAACCCTTCATAGCGCTGATGGCAGGTTCCGGGCCATAAACAAGTCCTGTCCCCACACACTTCAGCTTTCTCGACAATATGTTGATCCAGCTGCTCGGAGCTGGGAATAAATAACAGGGCAGCTCACCACACTCAAGTGGAAAATGGACCTGCGGAGAACTCCACGCAGAGAGACTTTGTAGTTGCACAAAATGGGAAATTAACTGGCTAGACAGTAAGTCTGGGGAAGTAAAGATAGGAGCTGGAAGCATTTAAACCTGGATAACTGCCCAGTGTCGGACCGGGAAGGAGGAAAAAAAAAATACTAGCAGAGCTCTTTTGTCTAGAGAGAAACTTTCCACAACGTAGAAGTGATTCCGGGTGCTGGAGACTGGACCCACATATTTGGTTTTTAATGCCAAAGGCACATACATAAAAACCGAAGCAAGGAAACACTGCCAATTCCAAGTGTTGGTGTGTGCTGCCACGGCCACGCCACCCCCACTCCCCGCGCCCCTGCTTGTGGTGACTCCTCTCCTCCCAGAGGAGGGGCTCTGCCCTTCACCCAATCTCCCAAACCAAGCCAGGCCGGGGCTGACGGGGCAGCCAGACACAATCAAACTGTCAAACATGCAAAAGTCTAGCCCTCACTCCCCACAGCGCCTCTTCCTTCAGCTGATGAACCACTGGGCAAGTGCCCGGCCACTAGTCTCCCCCTCGACCCACTCGGCATCAGTTTCTCACCTGAATGCCTGGAGTGTCCTGGACTTGAATAGCCAGAGTTTCTCCCTCTATCTGGACTTGTCGGGTGTAGAGATTACCTATGAAGGCAAAGTAAAGAGATCATGTTCCTCCTTCATGCGCAGCCTCATGAAATGTGGGTGTTTTTTTTTTAATGCAGTATAGCCTGCACCAATACACATAGAAAAAAGAAGAAGAAAAAAAAAAAGATGTAGTCCACTTCTATTTACTGGGTTTCCTTCTGATCTTGTTTAAAAGCCAGCTGCAATTTTAACCCCGTGCTAGTAGATTTATCAAAAGCAGGTCAAAGTTGGTGGGTTTTTAGAAACTTGCTGGTCTAATTTTAAACTCAGTTTCCATATTTAGAATATTTCCTTGAAGCCAATTTTCTGGCTCAGTATGTGCAGGGTTTCTGTTTTTATTTTAGTACATTATCATTCTCCAAACAGTTATATTTTGTCCACGGGCTCCACTGGATTCATAGGCAAATATGTTCAGTAAATGCACAGTTAATATCCCTGGCATAAAAATGTGACGTGATGATCAACTATCTATCAAAGCAGAAGGCTGCCATATCTTATCTTGGGATGGCTTCTATGGCTCATTTCACCTTAATCCCCAACAGCCACTTCATACAGGCTACTCACTGAAGCAATTTGCTAACAGGTCATAGTCAGAAAGTCCTGAGGTCCTCCTGGGACAGTGGACATTCTCAGTCATTGAGAATGAAATATTTGTCTTCTCATTATCCAGGGGCTCTCCCCTCTAACTCTTCAGCTAGTTATTCTCCTCTGCTAAGGAAAGAATTTTAGGTTTACAACCACCCTCCTCTGGCCTTTGCTTTCAAAGGTCACCCCTGAAAGGCCGCCAGCAGAGGGAGAGGGTGGGGGAGGAGCTGGCCAGCAGTTTTGGGTTTTTGTTTTGTTTCTGGGTTTTTTGTTTTGTTTTGTTTTAGTTTGGTTGGGGATTCTTGTTTGTTTGGTTTGGTTTTTTTTTTTTTTTTGTTTGTTTGGGTTGGTTTTTTTAAATGACTTTTGCAGGCATGGCATGTTTTAAAGGAAAAGGCCCTGGAGTACAAAAGGTACTTCCAACTGGGGTCCCTATAGTTAAAACATACCACTGGGAATACTTTCGGGCACTTGATAAAATGATGAATGGGCCTGGAATGGAATGAGGCCAGATGGCAGCTGGGGGTTGGGGGGGGGGGGAGGTGGCGTGCAGAATTGGAAGTGGCAGAATCCTGATGCTCACACGGTCACTCTGAAGGAAGTGTCCTTGAAAGGCACTGAGAAATGAGAGCAGCCACCCCAACAGGCTTTCTCTCGGTGTATTTCCTCACCTGCATTTCGTTCATAGTCTCCGATGAATCGTTTGGTGAGGAACCGGACCACCAAAGCTGCAATTGAGAGCCGAGAGCAAGTTAGATGGGTCTCCACCCCTCCCCCATCTAGAACACAACTCTGCCAAAGAGAGTCACAGCCGGCCACCGAAATTCCTACCCGGTAGCTCCTTGACCTCTCTGCCAGACACTAGGGGGTAGAAGCCGGGTGAGTTACGGCTCTGCCAGAGGGGAGGGTCCTGTGCCTCAGCCCCTCCTTTGAGCCCAGTTGGGCCACACCTAAAGCCTTCCAGCAGGCGAGTGTCTTCCTAACCTTACAGAACTCTCTGTTCTGCCACAGACCCTACCAGAGGCTCAAAGCCCTAAAGTTCTACTCCGGCCCGAAAGTCGGCGGGCCACTGTGGACCCGAGTGGCCCTCTTCTGTGGAAGCAGGGGCACGGAGGGGCCGACGATTCCGCTGCAACGCCCACCTCTGCCCTCTCCAGTCCGGGCGGCGGGGGGGTCTCCCACGTCCCGCCCCACCACCAAGCCGGTCCCTCGCTTGGACTCACCGGTCTTGCCCACGCCGCTGGCCCCCACCACGGCGATCTTGACCAGCCGGCGGCCCGCAGCCCCCAGACAGTAGTCGGCAGCGGCGCTGCCCGGGGCGGGGTACTCGGCGATGGTGCACATGTTCTGGATGAGGCGCATCGCCGCTGCGGCCGGGCTGCACCGCGCGGGGAGGAAAGTGAGGACGGGAGAGGCTGGCGATGAGCGGAGAGGGTGATCGGGTCCGACGCCGTGCGTCCAGGGAGGGCAGAAGGTACCAGGGAGGACGACGAGACACCGGTCTCAGTCTCAGCGGTTCCGGCTCGCAGCTGGGGTGGCTGGCGGCCGGGCGCGGGTTTTCTCCGGCCCAGGCCCCGCCCTCGCCCCGGGCGGCCAATCCCCGGGCGCCCTGCTCGAGGCCCCGCCTCCGGCCTGCCGTGAGAAGCTGCGCCCCCAAAGGAGCCGGGAGCGAGTGCCGGGCCCCGTGAGACCGGAGGAAAATCAGGGCGGCGGGCGCGAGGGAGGCAACGTGCGGGATCCAGCCGGCTCCCGCTGCGCTAGCACGCGGCCCCAGCGGTGGCTGCGGGGGTCACCGGGTCTCCGATCCGCGTGGGAGGATCTGTCCGTCTCTGCCGAGTCTTAGATCCGCGTGAGAGACCTGTCCGTGTCTTCTGGGTCTCAGATCCTCGTGGGGGACCTGTCATATCTGCGGTGGGTGGGGGGGGTGTCAGATCCGCGGTGGGTTTAGGGACACCCATCCTTGTCTGTCCACCTCGCCGCCGGGCCTCCCTAGGCATTCTCTGTGTAGAGTCCTGGGTCCCCTGGCCTCGCTGACCGCTGCCTGCCTAACTGGCTTCTCCTCTGGGAGAACCTCTGACCCTAAGGAACCTGCCAAGGAACCCGATGAGGCCACCGCCATTACCCCGAGGCCCGGCTCTGTGCTCTGCTCATGCGCTGGAGACGTTGATTGTTCTTACTTGGTTACATCCAAAGTATTGTCCTGGGTTATACATTTTCCCATCATTGTATCCATAAACAAAGGCACCCCTCCCCGCCATAAAATGTGGCATTTGTCTTTGGGGCAAAATATCCCTTTTGCGACAACACCCACACCGTGGAAAGCAAGTGCTGCTCCCCCAGAGGCATAACCAAGCCAGAAGCCTCTGGAACAAGCTTGCCCCTGTCACCCAGTCAGCCAGTCATCTCCTCCCGGAGCTGTGAAATGGTGAGAAACAGTCTCTTGGATGGGACTCACTGGGAGGCAGAAGGGCCCTATGTTTAGTCTGGTCAAAAGGCAAGGGTTAGTTAACCAGTGTTCTCATCAGTGAAAAGATTGGCGGTCAAAGGCTCGCCAAATCCCAGCTTCAGCAACCTTCTAGACCTTACCGCAGCCACCCTCTTACAACCCTCGGGCCCTTTTATCTTGGTGCCTAAGACAGCGAAGCCTGTGACTTTTTGTATACCCCTTATTAAAGGTAGAAACGTAAAAGGAGCTGCTGCCAGGATCTACACAGTTTCATTCTGGACTTTTTTCACCAGGTATTTGAATAGAATTGACCACCCTGCTCTGGTCAGACTGTGATGGACTCTATTAACAGTCTGAAGGGCTGAAGGGATTGGAAAGGAAATAGAAAGGTGTTGTTGAACTTCCTTGGTAAGCCTTCTAGGACAGACACATAATCAGGGGCGCACACAGGCTGAGCAATGACTGTAAAAGGCTGCCTTCTAGGGAGAACACTGGAATGGAGTAAGGTCAGCGTCTGAGTCAGGGAGAACAGGGCATGTCCAATTTGCATCATGTCCTTCTGTGTGGTTTAAGCCAAACTTGAGTTCTGCCAGCCTATAAAATGAAACTTAGCAAAAGCTATAATTACAGGTAGCACGCACCTTTCAACCCTCGCCCCCCTAGCCTGCAATTCTGCAGTGTTTACATGGGAAATAATTATGCAGTCTACGGTATTTGTTCGGCTGCTTTTTGCACACACACAGACATGATAAAAGTTCTCAAAGGGAATTTTGCTTTGAATCATTTTAGCTTCTGATGTTTCATTTTCATTACCACGAAACTAACCAAACCTGTGATTTTTCCGTCTGCATCATGGAGGATGAATTTAGTATTCTTATTATAAGTCAAAATGAACTGGCTGTACTTAAACACACACACACACACACACACACACACACACACACACACACACACACAAAAGAAAGTTGAGGAAAATGACAAAAAGAAAGGGGTGTTAGTTAACAGGCATCTACCCAGTAGCCCCCACCTGCATCTGGTTAAACTCAGACAAATAGCACTCAGTTATCACTTCTTGGAAATCCAAATCAGTGGGGTGGGGGTGGGGGGGGTGAAGAGACAGGGCGGAAAACATGATATCTATTGAGGGTTTACCATATTTCAGACTATAGGAAAGGAATTTCACTTTTTACCTCTAATTTTAGCAAGGGAAGCGAACATACCTGTAATCCCATCACCCCGAAGCCCGAATGAAACAGGCGGATCCCACAGCATTAATCTGAGGCAGATATGATCATTACTTCCAGGAACCATCCCACCGCTGCTCCATGAGCCACCCCAAACCGGTTCCCGGTCCTTATCCAGACGCTGTACAATTCTTGCCCAGAGTCTCTCACGGAGACACCGTCAGCTGACAGCTGAGTCGAGTATCATCGGAAGGTTCTGGCTGGGCATCCAGGATGACGTCTTTATTCACACGTCTACATTTCAGCTAGAAGGGTGGAAGCATTGGGCATAGCTCAGGCTGCCTCCGAACACATGATTTCTCATAAGTGAGCACTCAAGACACGAAATAGAAGCCAATCTCTTAAAGCTTGTATATGGACTCTGGCAAAGCCTTGCTCTATTGCTAATGGCCAAGCACACAGAACCCAGCCAAACCAAGGCGGGAAGAGGAGGAACACTGGTCCCACCTTTAGATGGAAATGGTGCCAAAGAATCTGTGACCATCATTCTTTAAAAGTGAGAGAAACAAAGTTTCACATGCATCTTCACAAAGATCGCACAGCCCATAATAGACAGTACCATACATCTGCAGGTGATCCGTGATACTTAAAACCAACTAAGTGAGCGCTGGGGAAATAGCTCTGTTGGCAAAGTGTTTTGTGAGAAGCATGAAGACCTGAGTTCAAGCCCTGGCAGCACCCACGTAAAAAAAAAAGAAAGAAAAAAAAGGAAAAGAAAAGAAAAACCCAGGCATCGTGGCACACACCTACAATCCAGGCCCTGGAGAAATGAAGACAGGAGGCACTCCATCTTGGGGCTTGCTGTCCAGACAGTCTCACAGAATCAGCTCTATGTTCAGTGAGAAATTATGTGTCAAAAAATGAGATGGTGAATGATTGAAAGAGACACCCACATAGACTTCTGACCTCCACGGGGTTGCTCACACACATGTGCGTGCACCCACCCACATGTACCCACACATAAAGACATGCATACATGAATAGCCAGAAGATGGTATGTTGCCAAGTGATGTGCTCACACTCTCTCCCTTCCTCTCTGTCTCTCTCTCTTCCTCTGCTCCCTCTCTCTTTCTTAAATAAAGATAAGAGGATGGGAGATTAAAATAGGAGGGACTTGGGGGGAGTAAAGACAGAAATATTTTGCTAAGTTTTGATTTTTGCCTCAGCATCTGGAGTTTCTCTTTGATCTCTAACGTCTATCTTTGATCTGAGAGCTTCCAGAGATAATTTGGTGTCTGGAAGTCCTTAGGATCCCAGAATGTAAATTTAATAAATATTTATTTAACATCTGGGCTGTGAGTCTGACAGGCACTGTGCTGGGCTGGGGCTTACTCTGGTGACTCCAGTTACATTTAGCATGGGAAGCCGAGATGCAACCAAGCAATTCTAATGCAATGTGAGAACACGCCTTGATAAAAGAAACTCAGGTGTTACAGGAACACAGAGTAGGACTAAGGACCTAGACTGGGATTCGATAGGCTCTAGTTAAGGAATGGCAGGGCTGGACGGTTGCACTGCTGTGTGTTGTACGTGTGTACGTATCTGTATGTGTAAGGATGGGGGAGCTAGTTTGGAAGCAGCATTTGCCCCTAGACAGAGGAAGCTGGTAAATATCTGTGCACTGGGGAATCAGAACAAGAGCATAAGACAAAGGCCTCACTCCCAGTGAGGAGAACTCATCATGGAACAGAGACCCAGGGGACAGGGAGCAGAGCACAGGAGAATTCTAAGGACTCACACACATTGTCAGAATCAGAGAAGCTGATGTGATCCCCTTCTTCCCCAGGGTACATGTCCATGGGAGCTAGATGAGTGTTGCTCTGCCCATATCCCCAAGGGTTGCTTCTAATTTGATGTGTGTCAAAGTACGTGGGCTTTCTCCAAGAGTTGTAATTTTATTTGATTATTTATTTTGAGGCTTATTTATATGTGGATCTAGCAAATAGACACATCTTTGGCTATTGTAAGCAAAACATGATTAGTTTTATCATTATCAAGGGTTTTCTTATTATGAAAACATAATAATTAGAAAGAGCTAGGACCACAGTCAAGAATTCAGGGGCTGCACCTACAATATCTTTCCTCTCTCTTCCTAGCTTGTCCCCCCGCACCCCCCTCCATCTCTTATTGTACATCTACCTTTAAAAAAAAAAAAAAGAAAATCTAGGGAAGATACAGAGGTGAACACAGTCAAAGTACAGGTTATCTGTGGATGAAGATGCCTTTATAAACCCCATCACTTTGTACAATGGAGTATAGGCAATAAAAAAAATGAAAAGAAAAGTAAAGCCATCACAAAGGAACCCAGAAAGTCCATTTCCTCTTACTGGGGGAGGAAAAAGATATAGGGCATCAATCTAACAGGAGGAGCTCCATCTTGGGGCTTGCTGTCCAGACAGAATCAGCTCCATGTTTGGTGAGAAATTATGTCTTAAAAAAAAGTCCATTTCCTCTTGTTGGGGGAAGAAAAAGATACAGGGCATCAGTGTAACTCTTGGCTGACGTTTGGAATCCTTTACCCATTATATACTATCCCCTCTGAGAAACTTTGCAGCTGATTCGCTCAAGTTCTAAGTCTTCCCGACACCCACAGCAGCATGTCCACACTGACTTGGTATCTTCTCTCCTGTAGCCTCCTCCTAAAAAGACAGACTTTGGCACGCTCACCAACTTTCCAAATGACTGTCCAGTGTTGGCTTTCACTTCCACATTACTTGGGAAATACTGTGGCCCGGGAATGGCTGCGGTCTGCTACGTGGAATCCTGAAGAACCAGCAAGTGTGGGGGCCTGTCTCCAGCACTGGGACTGAGAGAGCATGCTCTGCAATCACGGTTTATGTATCCGAATGTTGAAACTAAAGCGCACCGTGGCTCAGAAACAGCCCCTGGATTAAAGAGGTCAGAAAGTTCATTCTGCCACATTGGAGCTTTGGGGGATGTTTGAGGAAGCAAACAGGGACAGGACAGACAATGAATCAAGACAGGGGGATTGCACCCAGTGATTCCCCAATGTGTGTGCAGGTGCAAACAGGCCCGTGCCATCCACCCTGGAGAGCCATGCTGGCACACAGGGAGGTATCAATGGGGATTTTCCCCTTTTAAAACTCCAACCTTCCTTTTGATTTAATCACAGTTGAAAGACAGCCAGAATCTAGAGTGAAAAAACAAAATAGAGACAAAGGCCAAGGAAAGCTCCATTAAATAAAAGGAGACACCCCCTACATGCATGCACACGCACACACATGTGCGTCTCGTCTCAGAAAACGGTAACTTTGAAAACCCAAAAACAAAAGTCTTCCATTCTAGGCAGGAGGACTGGCCTCAAGGAGGCTCTTCCCTCCCCTCATGCCTTGGCTGGTTTCTATGGCAGCAGAAGGAGCTGCATTTTCCTCTTTAAATAGTGTCCTATGACTCCAGTCTCTGGGTGCACTGTCAGATTTTGTCTCTAGCCTGGCTGGCATTTTCCTCTTTCTCTTTCAACCCAACGCACCAATGGCAGGTAGAGGTGATTCTTTTCATGTAGAGGTCTGAAATTTGTCCTCCACTTTCCGTGGCTTCTGTCACCACAGCCCAAGTCATTTTTTTTTTTTTTCTGGGAACAGACAACATCCATTTGACAAGCAGTCTGATGGCAACAGTTGGAAACAAACTCAAGTTTTAAAGATGACTTGGGACAGCGCGTTCCCAGTGTGCTTTCACGGGGAGTGGGAAGAGCCAAGGCTGTAGGAGTATTTGAGTACTGGGAACTGACATGACTACATTCTTAACAGGGCCATTTTTAGGAGTTCCTCAAGGGAAACGAAAAGCCTGGTAACACAGCACAACATCTTTTAGGCCATTTTCCTCCCTTCTCCAGCAGGAAGACTCCTCTGAGCAGGTCATGTCTCACTAACACATCATTTATTCAGAAGATCCCAAAGCAGAAGAAATGAGTGTCAGCCTCGGGTCCTCAGGAACAGGAACAAGATCCTGGATAAGATTTTATGATCAGAAGATACACACAAGGCAGGAAGATCCAGAAAGACTCAGACATTTGAGGTGGTTGTTTAACATTCGCTGTTGGCTTTAAATTCCTAAGTTGATTGGACATACGTAATATTTACCCTCCTCCTGCCCCCTGGGAGTGCAGGACCACCTAAGGCCATTTTAGGGATCCTTATTGTCTGCACAGGAGTCAAGGACCTCTCACCAATCCCTGAGCTTCTGCGCATGCGCATACTAAGCTGGGAGGAAATGGAAGCATTCTGTATCCACCTGTAAACTAGCAAGCGTCGTGCACCCTGTTCCTCATGTCATCTGGAGAAGGAACTATGAAGCTGTGTTTGGGGCCAAAGCCACTGGCTCTCATTGCAGTACCAGGATTGCAGTGTCCGTCAAACCCTGCCCAACCCCTCATTCAGGCCACTAGCTCAGTCCATTCCAACGCACCTGAACTCTCCCAGGTCATAGTACAAAGTCATGGTATGGGTTGATAGCCAAATTAACAGAGACACAGAAATTACCCAATTGGTGACAATGCAAACGGAGACATAATGAGCTTCTTAAATAAGCTTGGCTTGGAATTCAGTCACCGCGAGGAGACATTTCCCCTCTACCTAGTCCGTGAGCATTTAGGCTTCTCACCGAGATGTTCTCATTATTAATGCATTTTTCTCCTGATTACAAAAGAAAATGGGTAGCAGCTGAGAAGAATGTGATGGGATGGCTTTTAGGAAATGTACGAATGACTCATGTTCTTGATTTAACAAAGGCACTGGCTTCTATATAAAGAAACAACTTAGATCAAAGATAGAAGCTGTGTGCACAGCAGAATGGAGATGGTAGAAGGGCCGTACATTCCAAGGAGTGTGAGGGTTGGTATGTTGGGTCATTTCTGCCGGGAACTTTGTGTGCAGTTCATTATTAGTTCTTATTAATTCACTGGGAATGTAAAGCGATCTACCCTAGACCTTAAGTACTACAAGGTAGGAAAACTGCAGGATGTTCAAGCTGATTCTTAACTGACCCCTAAAGCATTCAACAACAAAATATTGGTTTCCAAAATGAAGGTGTAACTCCACACACTAACTGGAAGGTGTATTTGTAATTCGATGGTAAATAAGGTATAGCTGATTTGAGTATCACAACAATATGTCGAATATCTAGTGAGACCCCATTGTATAAAAGGAATTGACAGGGCTGGAGAGATGGCTCAGAGGTTAAGAGCACTGGCTACTCTTCCAGAGGACCCGGGTTCAATTCCCAGCCTCCATATGGCAGCTCACAACTGCCTGTAACTCCAGCTTCAGGGGATCTGGCACCCTGTCAGACATACAGGCAGACAAAATACCAATGCACATAAAATAAAAAAGGAATTTTTTTAAAAAGGACTGACAAACTATACAAGCTTAATATTCTTATATTTTCATCATGAGGGTGAAAGAGACAGCAAGTTCTCAGGCCCACGTTGGCCTCTTATCAGTGGTGGAGAGGTAGTTATTTATAACTTGTCAGCTTCTCTCCCTGACTCCTCATTACCTGCACTTAGATGAGAAGATAGAAGGAAAGCCCTACGAAAGCCTGCCTGTATTCATTGGCCAAGGCTGCAGCTCAGCCAGGAGTCGAGACATTCCTCTGTCCTCTGTGCCCCACAAAAGATGGGATGATTGCCTCAGACTAGCCATTGCATTGGACTGTCAAGCGGACCCTTTGTGAGCTGAGGGCTGGCTTCTTAAAGCCCAGCACATGCCAGCCCCCAAGCACTGGGGAGAACAATGTTCAGATTGTTAGACAGTTCAGCAGGGGCCCTAGAAGTTTCTCAACAGCTTGTTCCCGCCACGGGAACCCTCAGCAGCTTCTCCTTCACATCATGAAATAACTTAAAGCCACAAGTAGCCCTGCCTATTTACAACATGTCTTACCTTTCTCCATCCACAGTTCCGTTCCAGGCCCGGCACCACTTAGATTCATGGTCCAAGCTTGTTGTCTCTCTGGCCTTCAGCATCTGCAGTTCCAGGACACTCCACAAATTCCCCAGACCCTTAGACACTCAAGTGCCTTATGTGAAATGATGTAGTATTTGCATATAACCTGCATGTTTCTTCTCTCAGACTTTCAGTCATCTCTAGATTATTTAGACTCCCCAAAAGAATATAAATGCAGTGTGAGCAGTTGCTTAGCTGTATTATTGTTTAGGCAATTGTGACCCTAAAAAAAAAAGTCTGTCTATCTTCAGTACAGGCATTTTTTCTCCCCCTGGGTATTTTCAATTCTTGGTTCCACATACCATGTTCTATTTGGTTGCTTATCCATCAGCTTTCAGCTCCAGAATATAAACCCTGTGAGTTCACGGCTCTGTCCCTAAAAACCTAGGGACATGCTTACCACAGAGCCCATGCTATCAAATAATGTGTCTGTTTCTGAGTGGATGGGCAGGTGGATCTGTGCATTTTGAGTATACTGAGGAAAAGGGGACATCAGATAGAGCCAGAGGAAGTTAAGCTGGTAGCGATGGGTGACCAAAGGAGGGCAAAGATGAGGGACAGGTAGAGACTGGCTTTGAAGGTGGGTCAGGCCCCAGGCTTCTCCAGTCACTTACTTATTCAGCCTTGGCTCACTCTGCCCTGATTCCAGAAGGAGGAAGAGAGTGATTTGAAGGCTGTAGAGATTGCAAAAGATGGAGAGCATCCTGACGGGTGCCAGCTTGGATCTCAGGGAGGGGGAGCAAGGTCATTGGTGCAGAATGGGAGATACATGAAGGAGGTGGTGGGGCAGTTGGAGACGAGGGGAACAGGCAGGCGGGCAGCGTCTGCTAACAACACCACAGCCAAGGACCAAAGGAGCCCCTCAAGGGAGACAGTGGGTGCACAGAGCACGTGGTTTGCCGTGGGAAAACAGAAGCTCGGAAGGGAGGGCATCGCAGACAGCCAAGGGGTGAGCTGGCCTAGGATTTGAGTGAGTAGCTAATAGGGAATTAAAGTGAGCAGTCAAGAATCAAGAACATCTATGAGGGGCCCACCCAAAGAGGCACAGTAGTAACAAGTGTCTTCGCCCAGACCAGGCACTGTGGACCTGCAGGAGAAGGACATCGCATGCAGAGGGAGACTAGAAATAGACCTTCCTGCTGGACCGCAAGCTCGCAGGGCAGGGACTCTACTGGGCTTTTCTTGTCTGTGTTCTCCAGCCCCAGCAGCTGCCCGGTGTAGAAGAGACCCTCCATAAACAACGAACGGCCGGTGAAAA